GTGTGTGTGTGTGTGTGTGTGTGTGTGTGAGAGAGAGAGAGAGAGAGAGAGAGAGAGAGAGAGAGAGAGAGAGAGAGAGAGAGAGAGAGAGGTAATCGATCGACAAGCGTGAATGCGACACGAAGATCCAAAGCCATGGCATACACAGACGCGACTTACACTCACACACGGAGAGAGAGAGAGAGAGAGAGAGAGAGAGAGAGAGAGAGAGAGAGAGAGAGAGAGAGATGCCTGCGAAAGAAATTTCCGTGCGTCGATGGATGGACGATCGATCGACCAAGCACAATACACACTCTAACATATGCTCGCACACACACGCACACATAGCAAGACTTTCTCTCTCTCTCTCTCTCTCACACACACACACACACACATACAATCAAACACACGTTCACAAATCAAGACAACATACGCACACAGACACACACAGACACACACAGACACTCGCAAACGCACACGCAAATGCATACGTACACGCAGATGCATACACACCGCACCTACCGGTAGTCATGCTCTTTTGTTAGAGTAGAATAACGAAAACATGACAGACGAACTTGCGTCTGCTGTGGATCAAGGCAGACGATCGGTCGATGCAAATCGGATTAGATCGACGAGGGTTCAGCCTCGGGATGCCTGTGTCGGTGAAAAGCCGACCAGATAGTCTGTAACACCCCCACGTTTTTGTCGTTTTCTCCATTTCCACCGTAGACGTGTGTGAGTGGGCGTTGATGGGTGCGTTTTCGCGCGTGCACAAGAGAGAGAGAGAGAGAGAGAGAGAGAGAGAGATGCAGAGGTAGACAGGCAGATAGACATAATGATAGGGAAAGAGTGCGTATATTCTTACTTTAAAAGGAGAAACGTTGATTGATCTTTAACGTCCATCCATCCATGAATTCCATTCTCGTGCTCACTGACCACAGACAGATCGGGGTGAAGGGGGTTACGGCGAAAGCGGGGGCAAGAGAGAGCGGGGCAAAATTTTACGTTTTTTTAATTTTTCTTTTTCTCTGTGTATATTAGTTTGAGGACAAAGTTTATTTCCGATTCTAGATGGATTACATGATCGTTAACGTGAGGCCTAGGGGGAACAACATTCCGAGGTACCAGTACGGGTTCGGGGAGGCGCGGGGGCGATGGCGGACGGGTGAGGGGAAAAATCTTCTGAACCCGGCGGACGTACATGCGCAGGGGCGATAGCGGGCGGGAGCGCCTGCGGGAAGTGGAGCGAGCTACCCGAAGGCCAGACGCGGGTTCGGTGCTACCGCGGGCAGTGGGAACGATGGGGGGGGGGGAGAGAGAGAGAGAGAGAGAGAGAGAGAGAGAGAGAG